ACAGGAGAGAAGTCTTCTTTGTGCTGAGCAATCTTTTTACAGCAATTGGCAAGTATCCAAGTAGCTCGTCCTGCTACTTTCACTGCCGTGTTGGTTGTCAGCAGCACTTGGAATAGACCCTGGTATCTTCTCTGCTCCCAGTGCTTCCGTCTGTGGTGCTTAATCAGCACCCAGTCTCCAGCGTTCAGTGGGTATAAAGGCCCTGTCGCTGGATCAGTCTGAGCAGCTTTTACCTGTGAGTGAACAGCTTGGAGAGAAGCAGAGAGAGACAGTAGGACAACATGGCACCCTCACATGCTACTAGAGTGATATGCTGTGGATCCTTTGGTTGCAAGCCTGTTTTAGGAAGCCAAAAACAATCTCATAAGAGATCAAGCCATTTTTCTGTCTGACTCTAGTTCTCATGTAGAACAACACCAAGGGAAGAGCTTGTACCCAATTGAGCCCTGTTTCTTCACAACACATACTCCCCCTTGATACGTGGTCTCAACCTAGCATAAAAAGGGAAGAGAGCACATGGCAAACAAGGTTTGTTTTCGGGGCCAGGCCCATGCCACACCCCCCCGAAATGTGGCACCGGCAGCACGCCACTGTTTCATCTCTGTCGGCGTTGCCTGTGACTGCATGTCAAGAGAGAAAGGAAAGGGAGTGAGTGAACAACCTCCCCTCGAGCTGCTGCATCAGCTGCTGCATTGCCCTGAGAAACATTAAAACATTAAGACATTACAATGTGAAATTGCTATAATTGGCATTTCAAGTAACACTGTATGGTATCGTAACCAACGCTGCACTGAAAGATGAGAAGTCTTTTGTGCATGCAAAAGCTGTGAAACAGCATGAGGAACCATGAGGGTGCAGTCTGAGTAGCCAACAATGTCTCTGGCCGCCAAAACAGCCTTCTCTTCTGCAGCCACAGCACGGAGACAGAGTGAGAGCTCTGGATCAAGCTTTGCAGAAAAGTATGCCACAGGTCATAGTTTCCCTCCATGCTTTTGACACAAAAGTGAGGTCATAAAATTGTGCCTTTTGGTCTACAAACTGTGTGACTCTCCGGATCCGGGAGATCTAATGTGGGTGCAGACATTAGAGCAGTCTTTAGGTCAGTAAAGGCAGCTTCTGATTCAGGTGTCTATTCAATTCTGTCAGTGGCTGTAAGGGACTTGCCATGAATGAGTGAGGAGAGTGGAGCTTCTCTCTCAGCATAATGTGGAATCCACTGTCAACAGTATGATGTCATACCAATAAAACTCATGAGTTGTTTTTTTATAAGGGGCTTGGGAACATTTTGAACTGCCTGGATGCGTTTTGGGGATAGGGAGTTGCCCTCTGCTGTGATTACATGTCCCAAATAAGTGAGTTTAGGCTGTACAAACTGCAGTTTTGACAAATTAGCTTTATGGCCACTTTTATTTTAAAATGTTTAAGAAGCAACTGTCATGATTCTGTCCTGTCGGCTTCAGTCCTCATGCTTTTATTTTATTTATTTTATAAAGAACACCTTTGCTAAATCAACAACAGAAAAATATGTTGAGCCTGGGCCTAGGACGATATTATGATTAAGATTACGGCTAAACGTATCATAATAACAACAATAATCATCCTGCCTGCTGACAATCAAACTTTTCTATCTAGTTATCCTTGCCCATGTACACCCTGCTAAAATCTCATGACAATGACTAAGCGTTTAAAACCAACAGAAAGTTTACTGAATGTCTGATCACAGGTAGGCCTCACAGCACTGGGATCAGAGAGATAGAGCTCCCGCAGGAGTTCCATCCACTGAACCCCGAATTAAGTTCTTACAATACATTTTATGTTCTTGGGCTGCTCCGCCCTAAACAAAGGTACAACAATTCATGCATTGTAATCCTATTGGTCATTTGGTGTGAGCCGGATTAGAATGTGGTAAAGGCTAGGTGTGTGTGTGTGTGTGTGTGT